ATGTTGATGGTGGTGATGATGTTGATGGTGGTGATGATGTTGATGGTGGCGATGATGTTGATGGTGGCGATGATGTTGGTGGTGGCGATGATGTTGATGGTGGCGATGATGTTGATGGTGGCGATGATGTTGATGGTGGCGATGATGTTGATGGTGGCGATGATGTTGATGGTGGTGATGATGTTGATGGTGGCGATGATGTTGATGGTGGCGATGATGTTGATGGTGGCGATGATGTTGATGGTGGCGATGATGTTGATAGTGGCGATGATGTTGATGGTGGCGATGATGTTGATGGTGGCGATGATGTTGGAGGTGGTGATGATGTTGATGGTGGCGATGATGTGGAGGTGGCGATGATGTTGATGATGTTGATGGTGGCGATGATGTGGAAGTGGCGATGATGTTGATGATGTTGGAGGTGGCGATGATGTTGATGGTGGCGATGATGTTGATGGTGGTGGCGATGATGTTGACGGTAGCGATGATGTTGGAGGTGGCGATGATGTTGGAGGTGGCGATGATGTTGATGGTGGCGATGATGTTGGAGGTGGCGATGATGTTGATGGTGGCGATGATGTTGGAGGTGGCGATGATGTTGGAGGTGGCGATGATGTTGACGGTGGCGATGATGTTGGAGGTGGCGATGATGTTGACGGTGGCGATGATGTTGATGGTGGCGATGATGTTGATGGTGGCGATGATGTTGATGGTGGCGATGATGTTGATGATGTTGATGGTGGCGATGATGTTGATGATGTTGATGGTGGCGATGATGTTGATGGTGGCGATGATGTTGATGGTGGCGATGATGTTGATGGTGGCGATGATGTTGATGATGTTGATGGTGGCGATGATGTTGATGATGTTGATGGTGGCGATGATGTTGATGGTGGCGATGATGTTGATGGTGGCGATGATGTTGATGGTGGCGATGATGTTGATGGTGGCGATGATGTTGATGGTGGTGATGATGTTGATGGTGGCGATGATGTTGATGGTGGCGATGATGTTGATGGTGGCGATGATGTTGATGGTGGCGATGATGTTGATGGTGGCGATGATGTTGATAGTGGCGATGATGTTGATGGTGGCGATGTTGTTGATGGTGGCGATGATGTTGAAGTGGCGATGATGTTGATGGTGGCGATGATGTTGACGGTGGCGATGATGTTGATGGTGGCGATGATGTTGACGGTGGCGATGATGTTGGAGGTGGTGATGATGTTGATGGTGGCGATGATGTGGAGGTGGCGATGTTGATGATGTTGATGGTGGCGATGATGTGGAAGTGGCGATGATGTTGATGATGTTGGAGGTGGCGATGATGTTGATGGTGGCGATGATGTTGATGGTGGCGATGATGTTGATGGTGGTGGCGATGATGTTGACGGTAGCGATGATGTTGGAGGTGGCGATGATGTTGGAGGTGGCGATGATGTTGATGGTGGCGATGATGTTGGAGGTGGCGATGATGTTGATGGTGGCGATGATGTTGGAGGTGGCGATGATGTTGGAGGTGGCGATGATGTTGACGGTGGCGATGATGTTGGAGGTGGCGATGATGTTGACGGTGGCGATGATGTTGATGGTGGCGATGATGTTGATGGTGGCGATGATGTTGATGGTGGCGATGATGTTGATGGTGTTGATGGTGGCGATGATGTTGATGATGTTGATGGTGGCGATGATGTTGATGGTGGCGATGATGTTGATGGTGGCGATGATGTTGATGGTGGCGATGATGTTGATGATGTTGATGGTGGCGATGATGTTGATGATGTTGATGGTGGCGATGATGTTGATGGTGGCGATGATGTTGATGGTGGCGATGATGTTGATGGTGGCGATGATGTTGATGGTGGCGATGATGTTGATGGTGGCGATGATGTTGATGGTGGCGATGATGTTGATGGTGGCGATGATGTTGATGGTGGTGATGGTGGCGATGATGTTGATGGTGGCGATGATGTTGATGATGTTGATGATGTTGATGATGTGGAAGTGGCGATGATGTTGATGGTGGCGATGATGTTGATGGTGGCGATGATGTTGATGATGTTGATGGTGGCGATGATGTTGATGATGTTGATGGTGGCGATGATGTTGGTGGTGGCGATGATGTTGATGATGTTGAAGGTGGCGATGATGTTGATGGTGGTGATGATGTTGATGGTGGCGATGATGTTGATGATGTTGATGGTGGCGATGATGTTGATGATGTTGATGGTGGCGATGATGTTGATGATGTTGACGGTGACGATGATGTTGATGATGTTGACGGTGACGATGATGTTGATGATGTTGACGGTGACAATGATGTTGATGATGTTGATGGTGGCGATGATGTTGATGGTGGCGATGATGTTGATGATGTGGAGGTGGCGATGATGTTGATGGTGACGATGATGTTGATGATGTGGAAGGTGGCGATGATGTTGATGATGTTGATGGTGGCGATGATGTTGACGGTGGCGATGATGTTGATGATGTTGATGATGTTGATGATGTGGAAGTGGCGATGATGTTGATGATGTTGATGGTGGCGATGATGTTGATGATGTTGATGGTGGCGATGATGTTGATGGTGGCGATGATGTTGATGGTGGCGATGATGTTGATGGTGGCGATGATGTTGATGGTGGCGATGATGTTGATGGTGGCGATGATGTTGATGGTGGCGATGATGTTGATGGTGGTGATGGTGGCGATGATGTTGATGGTGGTGATGATGTTGATGATGTTGATGATGTGGAAGTGGCGATGATGTTGATGGTGGCGATGATGTTGATGGTGGCGATGATGTTGATGATGTTGATGGTGGCGATGATGTTGATGATGTTGATGGTGGCGATGATGTTGGTGGTGGCGATGATGTTGATGATGTTGATGATGTTGAAGGTGGCGATGATGTTGATGGTGGTGATGATGTTGATGGTGGCGATGATGTTGATGATGTTGATGGTGGCGATGATGTTGATGATGTTGACGGTGACGATGATGTTGATGATGTTGACGGTGACGATGATGTTGATGATGTTGACGGTGACAATGATGTTGATGATGTTGATGGTGGCGATGATGTTGATGGTGGCGATGATGTTGATGATGTGGAGGTGGCGATGATGTTGACGGTGGCGATGATGTTGATGATGTTGAAGGTGGCGATGATGTTGATGATGTTGATGATGTTGATGGTGGTGATGATGTTGGTGGTGGCGATGATGTTGATGATGTTGATGATCTTGATGGTGGCGATGATGTTGGTGGTGGCGATGATGTTGATGGTGGCGATGATGTTGATGGTGGCGATGATGTTGATGGTGGCGATGATGTTGATGGTGGCGATGATGTTGATGATGTTGATGATGTTGATGATGTTGGTGGTGACGATGATGTGGAAGTGGCGATGATGTTGATGATGTTGACGGTGGCGATGATGTTGATGATGTTGATGATGTTGATGATGTGGAGGTGGCGATGATGTTGATGATGTTGATGATGTGGAGGTGGCGATGATGTTGATGATGTTGATGATGTTGATGATGTGGAGGTGGCGATGATGTTGATGATGTGGAAGTGGCGATGATGTTGATGATGTTGGAGGTGGCGATGATGTTGATGGTGGCGATGATGTTGATGGTGGCGATGATGTTGATGGTGGCGATGATGTTGATGGTGGCGATGATGTTGATGGTGGTGATGGTGGCGATGATGTTGATGGTGGTGATGATGTTGATGATGTTGATGATGTGGAAGTGGCGATGATGTTGATGGTGGCGATGATGTTGATGGTGGCGATGATGTTGATGATGTTGATGGTGGCGATGATGTTGATGATGTTGATGGTGGCGATGATGTTGGTGGTGGCGATGATGTTGATGATGTTGATGATGTTGAAGGTGGCGATGATGTTGATGGTGGTGATGATGTTGATGGTGGCGATGATGTTGATGATGTTGATGGTGGCGATGATGTTGATGATGTTGACGGTGACGATGATGTTGATGATGTTGACGGTGACGATGATGTTGATGATGTTGACGGTGACAATGATGTTGATGATGTTGATGGTGGCGATGATGTTGATGGTGGCGATGATGTTGATGATGTGGAGGTGGCGATGATGTTGACGGTGGCGATGATGTTGATGATGTTGATGATGTTGAAGGTGGCGATGATGTTGATGATGTTGATGATGTTGATGATGTTGATGGTGGTGATGATGTTGGTGGTGGCGATGATGTTGATGATGTTGATGATCTTGATGGTGGCGATGATGTTGGTGGTGGCGATGATGTTGATGATGTTGATGATGTTGATGGTGGCGATGATGTTGATGGTGGCGATGATGTTGATGATGTTGATGGTGGCGATGATGTTGATGATGTTGATGATGTTGATGATGTTGGTGGTGACGATGATGTGGAAGTGGCGATGATGTTGATGATGTTGACGGTGGCGATGATGTTGATGATGTTGATGATGTTGATGATGTGGAGGTGGCGATGATGTTGATGATGTTGATGATGTGGAGGTGGCGATGATGTTGATGATGTTGATGATGTGGAGGTGGCGATGATGTTGATGATGTGGAAGTGGCGATGATGTTGATGATGTTGATGATGTTGATGATGTGGAGGTGGCGATGATGTTGATGATGTTGATGATGTGGAGGTGGCGATGATGTTGATGATGTTGATGATGTTGATGATGTTGATGATGTTGATGATGTTGGTGGTGACGATGATGTGGAAGTGGCGATGATGTTGATGATGTTGACGGTGGCGATGATGTTGATGATGTTGATGATGTGGAGGTGGCGATGATGTTGATGATGTTGATGATGTGGAAGTGGCGATGATGTTGATGATGTTGATGATGTGGAGGTGGCGATGATGTTGATGATGTGGAGGTGGCGATGATGTTGATGATGTGGAAGTGGCGATGATGTTGATGGTGCTCAACCCGTGTGTGTCCCTCCTCCCCCTCCTCCACAGCTGAGATTTTCCAAGCAGAAGCCCTGCTTATCCTGACTAGCATTTCGGAGCAGTGTGGGCCTTCCCTGGGCCCTGGCAAGGTCCAGCAGCAGCTGGGCCAAGCACTGGAAATGATAGAACAGATAAGCGGAAACGGGAAACGCACAGAGGACACAGCTCTCCCACAATAACCACCACAACCACCACCACACAGAGACCCACAGACTCACCACACAGAGACCCACAGACTCACCACACAGAGACCCACAGACTCACCACACAGAGATCCACAGACTCACCACACAGAGACCCACAGACTCACCAAACAGAGACCCACAGACTCACCACACATAGATCCACAGACTCACCACACAGAGACCCACAGATTCACCACACAGAGACCCACAGACTCACATAGAGACCCACAGACTCACCACTCAGAGACCCACAGACTCACCACACAGAGACCCACAGATTCACCACACAGAGACCCACAGACTCACATAGAGACCCACAGACTCACCACTCAGAGACCCACAGACTCACCACACAGAGACCCACAGATTCACCACACAGCGACCCACAGATTCACCACACAGAGACCCACAGACTCACATAGAGACCCACAGACTCACCACTCAGAGACCCACAGACTCACCCACAGACTCACCACACAGAGACCCACAGATTCACCACACAGAGACCCACAGACTCACATAGAGACCCACAGACTCACCACTCAGAGACCCACAGACTCACCACACAGAGACCCACAGATTCACCACACAGAGACCCACAGACTCACATAGAGACCCACAGACTCACCACTCAGAGACCCACAGACTCACCACACAGAGACCCACAGACTCACCACACAGACACCCACAGACTAACCACACAGAGACCCACAGACTCACCACACAGAGACCCACAGACTCACCACACAGACACCCACAGACTCACCACACAGAGACCCACAGACTCACCACACAGAGACCCACAGAGACCCACAGACTCACCACACAGAGACCCACAGACTCACCACGCAGAGACCCACAGACTCACCACACAAAGACCCACAGGCTAACCACACAGAGACCCACAGACTCACCACACAGAGACCCACAGACTCACCACACAGAGACCCACAGACTCACCACACAGACACCCACAGACTCACACACACAGAGACCCACAGACTCACTCACACAGAGACCCACAGACTCACCACACAGACACCCACAGATTCACCATACAGAGACCCACAGACTCACCACACAGACACCCACAGATTCACCACACAGAGACCCACAGACTCACCACACAGACACCCACAGACTCACCACACAGAGACCCACAGACTCACCACACAGAGACCCACAGACTCACCACACAGAGACCCACAGACCCAACCACAGAGACCCACAGACTCACCACACAGAGACCCACAGACTCACCACACAGAGACCCACAGACTCACCCACAGACTCACCAAACAGAGACCCACAGACTCACCACACATAGATCCACAGACTCACCACACAGAGACCCACAGACTCACCCCACAGAGACCCACAGACTCACCCACAGACTCACCACACAGAGACCCACAGATTCACCACACAGAGACCCACAGACTCACATAGAGACCCACAGACTCACCACTCAGAGACCCACAGACTCACCACACAGAGACCCACAGATTCAGCACACAGAGACCCACAGACTCACATAGAGACCCACAGACTCACCACTCAGAGACCCACAGACTCACCACACAGACACCCACAGACTCACCCCACATAGACCCAGACTCACCCACAGACTCACTACACAAGAGACCCACAGACTCACCACACAGACACCCACAGACTCACCACACATAGATCCACAGACTCACCCACAGACTCACCACACAGATACCCACAGACTCACCACACAGACACCCACAGACTCACCACAGAAAGACCCACAGACTCACCACACAGAGAGCCACAGACTCACTCACACAGAGACCCACAGACTCACTCACACAGAGACCCACAGACTCACCACACAGACACCCACAGACTCACCACACAGAGACCCACAGACTCACCACACAGAGACCCACAGAGTCACCACACAGAGACCCACAGACTCACCACACAGAGACCCACAGACTCACGACACAGAGACCCACAGACTCACCACACAGAGACCCACAGACTCACCACACAGAGACCCACAGACTCACCACGCAGACACCCACAGACTCACCACACAGAGACCCACAGAGTCACCGCACAGAGACCCACAGACTCACCACGCAGACACCCACAGACTCACCACACAGAGACCCACAGACTCACCGCACAGAGACCCACAGACTCACCACACAGAGACCCACAGACTCACCCACAGATTCACCAAACAGAGACCCACAGACTCACCACACATAGATCCACAGACTCACCACACAGAGACCCACAGACTCACCCACAGACTCACCAAACAGAGACCCACAGACTCACCACACATAGATCCACAGACTCACCACACAGAGACCCACATACACACCCCACAGAGACCCACAGACTCACCCACAGACTCACCACACAGAGACCCACAGATTCACCACACAGAGACCCACAGACTCACATAGAGACCCACAGACTCACCACTCAGAGACCCACAGACTCACCACACAGAGACCCACAGATTCAGCACACAGAGACCCACAGACTCACATAGAGACCCACAGACTCACCACTCAGAGACCCACAGACTCACCACACAGACACCCACAGACTCACCCCACATAGACCCAGACTCACCCACAGACTCACTACACAAGAGACCCACAGACTCACCACACAGACACCCACAGACTCACCACACATAGATCCACAGACTCACCCACAGACTCACCACACAGAGATACCCACAGACTCACCACGCAGAGACCCACAGACTCACCACACAGACACCCACAGACTCACCACAGAAAGACCCACAGACTCACCACACAGAGACCCACAGACTCACTCACAGAGACCCACAGACTCACTCACAGAGACCCACAGACTCACCACACAGAGACCCACAGACTCACTCACAGAGACCCACAGACTCATCACGCAGAGACCCACAGACTCACCACACAGAGACCCACAGACTCACCACACAGAGACCCACAGACTCACCACACAGAGACCCACAGACTCATCACACAGAGACCCACAGACTCACCACACAGAGACCCACAGACTCACCACACAGAGACCCACAGACTCACCACACAGAGACCCACAGACTCACCACGCAGACACCCACAGACTCACCACACAGAGACCCACAGACTCACCACACAGAGACCCACAGACTCACCACACAGAGACCCACAGACTCACCACACAGAGACCCACAGACTCACCCACAGACTCACCACACAGAGACCCACAGACTCACCACGCAGACACCCACAGACTCACCCACAGACTCACCACGCAGAGACCTACAGACTCACCACACAGACACCCACAGACTCATCCACAGACTCACCACACAGAGACCCACAGACTCACCACACAGAGACCCACAGACTCACCAACAGACTCACCACACAGAGACCCACAGACTCACCACACAGACACACACAGACTCACCACACAGAGACCCACAGACTCACCAAGCAGACACCCAGACTCACCACACAGAGACCCACAGACTCACCACACAGAGACCCACAGACTCACCAAACAGAGACCCACAGACTCACCACACAGAAACCCACAGACTCACCACACAGAGACCCACAGACTCACCACACAGAGACCCACAGACTCACCACACAGAGACCCACAGACTCACCACACAGAGACACACAGACTCACCACACAGAGACCCACAGACTCACCACACAGAGACCCACAGCCTCACCACACAGAGACCCACAGACTCACCACACAGAGACCCACAGACTCACCACACAGAGACCCACAGACTCACCACGCAGAGACCCACAGACTTACCACACAGACACCCACAGACTCACCACACAGAGACCCACAGACTTACCACACACAGAGGCCCACAGACTCACCAAACAGAGGCCCATAGACTCACCACACAGAGACCCACAGACTCACCACACAGAGACCCACAGACTCACCACACAGAGACCCACAGACTCACCACACAGAGATACCCACAGACTCACCACGCGGAGACCCATAGACTCACCACACAGAGACCCACAGACTCACCAAGCGGAGACGGACCTAGTCTGGCACGGGCTACGGGAGAGAGACAAAGGCGGCCGGGCAGGCTGTCTGTCCGGAGGCTGCACGGCGTGTGGGGGGGGTTTCGACTGACGTTGAATAAAGGATTTGTTTTCGATCGAGCTGTGGTTTGGTGACGATCCACTTAGGTCCAGGAGTCTCGAACTCCACGCCTCTCTCATCACCACCACCATCACCACGATCACCCTCTCATCATCATCATCACCACCACCACCACCCTATCATCACCACCACCACCCTCTCATCACCACCACCACCCTCTCATCTTCACCACCACCACTGCCACCACCCTCTCATCATCAACAACAACCGCCATTCACCACTAAGTAGCGGTGACGTCACCACGACGCTTGTGCCAGGCCATGTGCACGTTGAGGCCACGTGAAGTGTCGAACGCCCGCTGGCAGGAGGTCACGGGGCAGACCCAGGTGCCACGGGTCGACTGACTGAGATGACTGAGACGAGTGGCTGATGCACCACCTGTGCCCCCTACAACCATCATCACCAATATCACAACCATCACCACCACCACCCTCTCATCATCACCACCACCCTTCTCATCACCACCACCATCACCACCACAACCATCACCACCACCACCACCACCACCACAACCATCACCACCACCACAACCATCACCACCACCACAACCATCACCACCACCCCATCATCACCACCACCACAACCATCACCACCACCACAACCATCACCACCACCCCATCATCACCACCACCACAACCATCACCACCACCACAACCATCACCACAACCACCACCACAACCATCACCACCACCCCATCATCACCACCACCACAACCATCATCACCACCATCACAACCATCACCACCACCACCCTCTCATCATCACCACCACCCTTCTCATCACCACCACCACCCTCTCATCATCACCACCATCATCATCACCACCATCACCACCACAACCATCACCACCACCACCACCACAACCACCACCACAACCACCACCACAACCACCACCACAACCATCACCACCACCACCACCACAACCATCACCACCACAACCATCACCACCACCCCATCATCATCACCACCACAACCATCACCACCACAACCATCACCACCACCCTCTCATCACCACCACCACCCCATCATCACCACCCTCTCATCACCACCACCACAACCATCACCACCACCACCATCACCACCACCACCACAACCACCACCACAACCACCACCACCACTACAACCATCACCACAACCACCACCACAACCACCACCATCACCACCACCACAACCACCACCACAACCACAACCACCACAACCACCACCACAACCACCACCACAACCACCACCACAACCACCACCACCACCACAACCACCACCACAACCACCACCACCACCATCACCACCACCACAACCATCACCACCACCACAACCATCACCACCGTACAATCGACGCAGCCTTGACCAAGGGCGGCCACGATAACCGAGTGGCGTTAGTCGCAGTGGCAGAGCAGCAGCAGCAGTAGTAGTAGTGGTGTTATTATTTATAACATTATTATTATTATTAATACAATTCAATGTAACAGAGCTGCGCGCGACACGGTTCGTACAAAAGGGTGGTAAACCACGTGGGGGTGGGGGGAGGGTGGTGGTGGTGGTGGGGGGGTGGTGGTGGGGGGGGGGGGGTGGTGGTGGGGGGGTGGTGGTGGTGGGGTGGTGGTGGTGGGGTGCGACTCGAGTGGAATCGTCCAGCCAATCGGCAGCCAAGAAACCACCTGTCTGTCTTTCTGTCTCTGTCTGTCTGTGTCTGTCTCTCTGTCTTGTCTCTGTCTTTCTGTCTGTGTCTGTCTCTGTCTTGTCTGTCTCTCTGTCTTGTCTCTGTCTGTCTCTCTGTCTCTCTGTGTCTGTCTTGTCTCTGTCTGTCTCTGTCTTGTCTCTGTCTGTCTGCCTTGTCTCTCTGTCTCTCTATGTCTGTCTGTCTTGTCTGTGTCTCTGTCTGTCTCTGTCTGTCTTTTCTCTGTCTGTCTGTGTCTTGTCTGTCTGTCTCTCTGTCTGTCTTGTCTCTGTCTTGTCTCTCTGTCTGTCTCTCTGTCTGTCTCTCTGTCTTGTCTCTCTGTCTTGTCTCTGTCTTGTCTCTGTCTGTCTCTCTGTCTCTGTCTGTCTTGTCTCTCTGTCTTTGTCTTTCTGTCTCTGTCTGTCTCTGTCTCTTTGTCTGTCTTGTCTCTGTCTGTCTCTCTGTCTGTCTCTCTGTGTGTCTTGTCTCTGTCTGTCTTGTCTCTGTCTTGTCTCTGTCTGTCTCTCTGTCTGTCTCTCTGTCTTGTCTCTGTCTTGTCTCTCTGTCTCTGTCTGTCTTTGTCTTTCTGTCTCTGTCTTTGTCTGTCTTGTCTCTCTGTCTGTGTTGTCTGTCTTGTCTCTGTCTGTCTCTCTGTCTGTCTTGTCTCTCTGTCTTTGTCTTTCTGTCTGTCTGTCTCTGTCTGTCTCTTTGTCTGTCTTGTCTCTGTCTTGTCTCTCTGTCTTGTCTCTGTCTTGTCTCTCTGTCTGTCTTTCTGTCTCTCTCTGTATTGTCTCTGTCTGTCTTGTCTCTCTGTCTGTCTTTCTGTCTGGTCTCTCTGTCCGTCTGTCTCTCTGTCTTGTCTCTCTGTCTGTCTCTGTCTGTCTCTCTGTGTCTCTGTCTGTCTCTCTGTCTCCGTCTCTCTCTGTCTTGTCTCTCTGTCTGTCTCTCTGTCTCTCTCTGTCTCTTTCTCTGTCTTTCTGTCTGTCTGGTCTCTCTGTCTGTCTGTCTCTGTCTGTCTCTCTGTCTGTCTTGTCTCTGTCTGTCTCTCTGTCTTGTCTCTGTCTTGTCTCTGTCTGTCTCTCTGTGTCTGTCTTGTCTCTCTGTCTCTATATGTCTGTCTGTCTCTGTCTGTGTCTCTGTCTGTCTTGTCTCTGTCTGTCTCTCTGTCTTGTCTCTGTCTTGTCTCTGTCTGTTTCTCTCTGTCTGTCTGTCTCTCTGTCTCTCTCTGTCTCAATCGCTTTTTGAAGCTCAAAAGTTGAAACTTTGTACAACGTCATCACCACCAACACCACCACCACCACCAAAGACAAAGATCCCCCGTGTAGCCTGTAACAGACTGTAGGGGCAAGTGCTGTTCGCGAGCACCTATGAAGGCTACCGGCACTGTGGCACACACAGAGGGGGTGGCTGAGCAACACCACGCCCGGCCGCCTTTGTCTCCCCAGTGGCGATGTTCACTACACACCGCTACACCAGATACTCATTTGAGGCTGAGCCGACCTAGGGGAGGCCCAGGACCGGTTCAGACGATCGCCACTGGTGGTGGCCGTGAGCGGCAATCGAACCCGGGTCGCCAGGATCACCAGGTCCGGTTGTGTGTGAGTGGGGAGCGGTGGTGCAGTGGTTAGCGCACTGTTGGTGTGTGTGTGGGGAGCGGTGGTGCAGTGGTTAGCACACTGTGTGTAAGTGTGGGGAGCGGTGGTGCACTGGTTAGCGCACTGTGTGTGTGTAGGGAGCGGTGGTGCAGTGGTTAGCACACTGTGTGTGTGAGTGGGGAGCGGTGGTGCAGTGGTTAGCGCACTGTGTGTGTAGGGAGCGGTGGTGCAGTGGTTAGCGCACTGTATGTGTGTGTGAGGAGCGGTGGTGCAGTGGTTAGCGCACTGTGTGTGTGTGAGTGGGGAGCGGTGGTGCAGTGGTTAGCACACTGTGTGTGTGTGAGTGGGGAGCGGTGGTGCAGTGGTTAGCGCACTGTGTGTGTGTGAGTGTGGGGAGTGGTGGTGCAGTGGTTAGCGCACTGTGTGTGTGCGTGAGTGTGGGGAGCGGTGGTGCAGTGGTTAGCGCACTGTGTGTGTGTGTGTGTGAGGAGCGGTGGTGCAGTGGTTAGCGCACTGTGTGTGAGTGTGAGGAGCGGTGGTGCAGTGGTTAGCGCACTGTGTGTGTGTGTGAGGAGCGGTGGTGCAGTGGTTAGCGCACCGCCCTACGAACCCCGCATAGACCCACAACCACCACCACCACCACCATCCCCTACCCCACTAGCCGTAAAAAAATACATCGGGAGCCACTGCTGCGGGGAGACAAAGACGGCCGCCAGGCCCGGCCACAACCCCACCCGGCCACAACAGCTCCCCTGAACGGCCGTGCCTGAGAGGCTACCCCCTGGGGTGACTCTGCGTGTCCACCCCCTTTCACGAGCTCGGTGGATAGTCCACCGTCGGAGTCGGAGGATAGTCCACCATCGGAGTTGGTGGATAGACCACCATCGGAGTCGGAGGATAGTTCATCATCGGGGTTGGTGGATAGTCCATCATCGGAGTCGGTGGATAGTCCATCATCGGAGTTGGTGGATAGTCCATCATCGGAGTTGGTGGATAGTCCATCATCGGAGTTGGTGGATAGTCCATCATCAGAGTCGGTGGATAGTCCACCATCGGAGTCGGTGGATAGTCCATCATCAGAGTCGGTGGATAGTCCATCATCGGAGTTGGTGGATAGTTCATCATCGTTGTTGGTGGATAGTCCATCATCGCAGTTGGTGGATAGTCCATCATCGGAGTTGGTGGATAGTCCATCATCGGAGTTGGTGGATAGTCCATCATCAGAGTTGGTAGATAGTTCACCATCGGAGTCGGTGGATAGTCCATCATCGCAGTTGGTCGATAGTCCACCATCGGAGTTGGTGGATAGTCCATCATCGGAGTTGGTGGATAGTCCATCATCAGAGTTGGTAGATAGTTCACCATCGGAGTCGGTGGATAGTCCATCATCGCAGTTGGTCGATAGTCCACCATCGGAGTTGGTGGATAGTCCATCATCGGAGTCGGTGGATAGTTCATCATCGGAGTCGGTGGATAGTCCATCATCGGAGTCGGTGGATAGTCCATCATCAGAGTTGGTAGATAGTTCACCATCGGAGTCGGTGGATAGTCCATCATCAGAGTCGGTGGATAGTCCATCATCGGAGTTGGTGGATAGTCCATCATCGGAGTTGGTGGATAGTCCATCATCGGAGTTGGTGGATAGTTCATCATCGGAGTTGGTGGATAGTCCATCATCGTTGTTGGTGGATAGTCCATCATCGGAGTCGGTGGATAGTCCACCATCGGAGTCGGTGGATAGTTCATCATCAGAGTTGGTAGATAGTCCATCATCGGAGTTGGTGGATAGTCCATCATCGGAGTCGGTGGATAGTCCATCATCGGAGTTGGTGGATAGTTCATCATCAGAGTTGATAGATAGTCCATCATCGGAGTTGGTAGATAGTCCATCATCAGAGTTGGTGGATAGTCCACCATCGGAGTCGGTGGATAGTCCATCATCGTTGTTGGTAGTTAGTCCATCATCAGAGTCGGTAGATAGTTCATCATCGGAGTTGGTGGATAGTCCATCATCGGAGTCGGTGGATAGTCCATCATCGGAGTTGGTGGATAGTCTATCATCGGAGTTGGTGGATAGTCCATCATCGGAGTTGGTGGATAGTCCACCATCGGAGTCGGTGGATAGTTCATCATCGGAGTTGGTGGATAGTTCATCATCAGAGTTGGTGGATAGTCCATCATCAGAGTTGGTGGATAGTCCATCATCGTTGTTGGTGGATAGTCCATCATCGGAGTCGGTGGATAGTCCATCATCGCAGTTGGTGGATAGTCCATCATCAGAGTTGGTAGTTAGTCCATCATCAGAGTTGGTAGATAGTTCATCATCAGAGTTGGTGGATAGTCCACCATCGGAGTTGGTGGATAGTCCACCATCGGAGTTGATGGATAGTTCATCATCGGAGTTGGTGGATAGTCCATCATCAGAGTTGGTGGATAGTCCATCATCAGAGTTGGTGGATAGTTCATCATCAGAGTTGGTAGTTAGTCCATCATCAGAGTTGGTGGATAGTCCATAATCGGAGTTGGTGGATAGTCCATCATCGGAGTTGGTGGATAGTCCATCAGAGTTGGTGGATAGTTCATCATCAGAGTTGGTGGATAGTCCATCATCAGAGTTGGTGGATAGTCCATCATCAGAGTTGGTGGATAGTCCATCATCAGAGTTGGTGGATAGTCCATCATCGGAGTTGGTGGATAGTCCATCATCAGAGTTGGTAGTTAGTCCATCATCAGAGTCGGTAGATAGTTCATCATCAGAGTTGGTGGATAGTTCATCATCAGAGTTGGTGGATAGTTCACCATCAGAGTTGGTGGATAGTTCATCATCAGAGTTGGTGGATAGTCCATCATCAGAGTTGGTGGATAGTCCATCATCAGAGTTGGTTGTTAGTCCATCATCAGAGTCGGTGGACAGTCCACCAGGATCTGGCGCTTGGGGTTGATGCGGGAGGCTTAAGGGTTGTCCACCTTCCGGGTCGACTCAGCGGCTACGACTCTGGAGGTCGACTCGTCGGGGAGGGTGGATGGAGTTGAACGGAGGACAATCGTCGTCGTCATTGTCATCAGCATCATCATCGTCATCAGCATCATCATCATCATCATCATCGTCGTCATCATCGTCATCAGCATCATCATCGTCAGCATTTTTAAAGCATCAGCATCATAGTCTTCATCATCATCCACTGCCCATCAGCCCACTTCGCGTCTCCATCCACCTCATCTAATGTCCACCCACCCCCCCATCTATCTCCTCCACCAGGGGCTCCACCTCCATCCTCCACTGGGGGCTCCACCTCCATCCTCCACTGGGGGCACCACCTCCATCCTCCACCGGGGGCTCCACCTCCATCCTCCACCGGGGGGCACCACCTCCATCCTCCACCGGGGGGCACCACCTCCATCCTCCACCGGGGGGCACCACCTCCATCCTCCACCGGGGGGCACCACCTCCATCCTCCACCGGGGGCTCCACCTCCATCCTCCACCGGGGGCACCACCTCCATCCTCCACCGGGGGGCTCCACCTCCATCCTCCACCGGGGGGCTCCACCTCCATCCTCCACCGGGGGGCACCACCTCCATCCTCCACCGGGGGGCACCACCTCCATCCTCCACCGGGGGGCACCACCTCCATCCTCCACCGGGGGCACCACCTCCATCCTCCACCGGGGGGCACCACCTCCATCCTCCACCAGGGGCTCCACCTCCATCCTCCACCGGGGGGCACCACCTCCATCCTCCACCGGGGGCTCCACCTCCATCCTCCGCACTCCTCAGATGTGTCGGATGGTGCGTGTGAGATACGCCCCACCTTTGGTGCGCACCATTGTCCATCACCCCATCCATCTCCATCATCGTCTTCATTATTATCATCTCCATCACCATCATCCTCTCCATCCTGTCTATCCTGTCCCTCATCTCCATCACCATCATCCTCTCCATCCTGTCTATCCTGTCCATCATCTCCATCATCTCCATCTTCATCACCATCATCCTCTCCATCTTTAATCATCTTCACCACCGCCGCCACCACCACCACCTTCTCCTCCTGCTCCACCACCTCAGATGTGGTGGATGTTGTGGAAGATCCAGTCCACCTTGGCGCTCCAATGTCCATCACCCCATCCACCACCTCCACCATCTCCACCACCATCTCCACCACCACCTCCAGCTCCACCACCTCCTGCTCCACCTCCACCACCTCCTGCTCCACCGCCTCCAACACCTCCACCACCACCACCTGCTCCACCACCTGCTCCACCACCTCCTCCTCCACCTCCACCACCCGCTCCACCACCTCCTCCTCCACCACCTCCACCACCCGCTCCACCACCTCCTGCTCCACCACCACCCGCTCCACCACCACCCGCTCCACCACCTCCTGCTCCACCACCTCCTCCACCACCACCCGCTCCACCACCCTCCCTGCTCCACCGCCTCAGATGTGTCGGATGGTGTGGAAGATCCAGTCCACCTTGGTGGTCCACCCGCCGTGGTGAGCGTCGTTCATCTGCTTCATGAAGTACTCGAGGGCCTCCTGCTCGCTCTTGTCCAGCGCCAGCGTCTTGCGGAGGTAGGCGATGTCATCGAAGCTCTGCAGTTCAGGCATTCCTGAGCCCAGCATCATGGAGAGCAGGTTGATGAAGAGATTCGCGTGCTGCCTGATGGCCAGGTAGGCCTTGTAGCACATTTCCTGGAAGCTGCGGTGAGGAGTGGGGAGAGGGTGGGGAGAGGGTGGGGAGAGGTTGGTGAGTGAGAGAGTGAGGGTGGTGAGTGAGTGAGAGAGTGAGTGGTGAGTGAGAGGTTGGAGAGCAGGTTGATGAAGAGATCCGCGTGCTGCCTGATGGCCAGGTAGGCCTTGTAGCACATTTCCTGGAAGCTGCGGTGAGGGTGGGGAGAGGGTGGGGAGAGGGTGGGGAGAGGTTGGTGAGTGAGAGAGTGAGGGTGGTGAGTGAGAGAGAGAGGGTGGTGAGTGAGTGAGTGAAAGAGTGAGTGAGAGTGAGAGAGAGAGGTTGGAGAGCAGGTTGATGAAGAGATCCGCGTGCTGCCTGATGGCCAGGTAGGCCTTGTAGCACATTTCCTGGAAGATGCGGTGAGGAGGTGAGGGGTGAGGAGAGGGTGGGGAGAGGTTGGTGAGTGAGAGAGTGAGGGTGGTGAGTGAGAGAGTGAGTGTGGTGAGTGAGTGAGTGAAAGAGTGAGTGAGAGAGAGAGAGGTTGGAGAGCAGGTTGATGAAGAGATTCGCGTGCTGCCTGATGGCCAGGTAGGCCTTGTAGCACATTTCCTGGAAGCTGCGGTGAGGGTGGGGAGAGGGTGGGGAGAGGGTGGGGAGAGGGTGGTGAGTGAGAGAGTGGTGAGTGAGAGTGAGAGGTTGGAGAGCAGGTTGATGAAGAGATCCACGTGCTGCCTGATGGCCAGGTAGGCCTTGTAGCACATTTCCTGGAAGCTGCGGTGAGGGTGGGGAGAGGGTGGGGAGAGGTTGGTGAGTGAGAGAGTGAGTGAGAGAGTGAGTGGTGAGTGAGAGGTTGGAGAGCAGGTTGATGAAGAGATTCGCGTGCTGCCTGATGGCCAGGTAGGCCTTGTAGCACATTTCCTGGAAGCTGCAGTGAGGGTGGGGAGAGGGTGGGGAGAGGGTGGGCAGTGAGAGGGTGGTGAGTGGGAGAGTGAGTGAGTGAGAGTGAGAGAGAGAGGTTGGTGAGGAGTTGATGAAGATGTTCACGTGCTGCCTGATGGCCAGGTAGGCCTTGTGGCACATTTCCTGAAAGCTGTGGTGAGGAGGAGAGGGTGGGGAGAGGGTGGGGAGAGGTTGGTGAGTGAGATGAGAGGTTGGTGAGTGAGAGGGTGAGGGTGGTGAGTGAGAGAGTGAGGGTGGTGAGTGAGAGAGTGAGTGAGAGTGAGAGAGAGAGGTTGGAGAGCAGGTTGATGAAGAGATTCGCGTTCTGCCTGATGGCCAGGTAGGCCTTGTAGCACATTTCCTGGAAGCTGCGGTGAGGGTGGGGAGAGGGTGGGGAGAGGTTGGTGAGTGAGAGAGTGAGAGAGTGGTGAGTGAGAGAGTGAGGGTGGTGAGTGAGAGAGTGAGGGTGGTGAGAGAGTGAGTGAGAGTGAGAGAGAGAGGTTGGAGAGCAGGTTGATGAAGAGATTCGCGTTCTGCCTGATGGCCAGGTAGGCCTTGTAGCACATTTCCTGGAAGCTGCGATGAGGGTGAGGCGAGGGTGAGGCGAGGGTGGGGAGAGGGTGGGGAGAGGTTGGTGAGTGAGTGAGTGAGAGAGTGAGTGAGTGAGATTGAGAGAGAGAGGTTGGAGAGCAGGTTGATGAAGAGATTCGCGTTCTGCCTGATGGCCAGGTAGGCCTTGTAGCACATTTCCTGGAAGCTGTGGTGAGGAGGAGAGGGTGGTGAGTGAGAGAGAGAGAGGAGAGGGTGAGTGAGAGTGAGAGAGAGAGGTTGGTGAGGAGTTGATGAAAAGGTTCGCGTGCTGCCTGATGGCCAGGTAGGCCTTGTGGCTGGGGTGAGGTGGTGAGCGGCGAGGAGGAGGAGGTGGTGTAAAGTGGTGCTGGAGGTGAGCCAGTGAGTGAATGACTGACCGAGTGTGTGACTGAGTGTGTGACTGAGTGACTGAGTGAGTGTGTGACTGAGTGTGTGACTGAGTGTGTGACTGAGTGTGTGACTGAGTGTATGACTGAGTGAGTGTGTGACTAAGTGAGTGACTGAGTGACTGATCGAGTGTGTGACTGAGTGTGTGACTGAGTGTGTGACTGAGTGTGTGACTGAGTGTGTGACTGAGTGACTGAGTGAATGTATGACTGAGTGAGTGTGTGACTAAGTGAGTGACTAAGTGAGTGACTGAGTGACTGACCGAGTGTGTGACTGAGTGTGTGACTGAGTGAGTGTGTGACTAAGTGAGTGACTAAGTGAGTGACTGAGTGAGTGAGTGAGCTGGTGAGTGAGTGAGCTGGTGAGTGAGCTGGTGAGTGAGCGAGCTGGTGAGTGAGCTGGTGAGTGAGCTGGTGAGTGAGTGAGCTGGTGAGCGAGCTGGTGAGTGAGCTGGTGAGTGAGTGAGCTGGTGAGTGAGTGAGCTGGTGAGTGAGCGAGCTGGTGAGTGAGATGGTGAGTGAGTGAGATGGTGAGTGAGCTGGTGAGTGAGTGAGCTGGTGAGCGAGCTGGTGAGCGAGCGAGCTGGTGAGCGAGCGAGCTGGTGAGTGAGTGAGCTGGTGAGTGAGTGAGCTGGTGAGTGAGCTGGTGAGTGAGTGAGCTGGTGAGTGAGCTGGTGAGTGAGTGAGCTGGTGAGCGAGTGAGCTGGTGAGTGAGCGAGCTGGTGAGTGAGATGGTGAGTGAGTGAGATGGTGAGTGAGTGAGCTGGTGAGCGAGCGAGCTGGTGAGTGAGTGAGCTGGTG